GTGACGTGCTGTTCATCCCCGATTCGTAGGTTCCCACCAGGACCCCACGGCGCTGAGCTCGCGGGCGCTGCGGCAGTCCTTCGCGAGGGGCGCGCCGCTCTGCGGGGACCTGGCGCACGGCCTCGGGGGCGGGGCGCTGGTGCCGGCGCCGGCGCTGGCCCTGGCGGCGGCCATGGCGGGGCTCGTCCCCGACTCGGTGGAGCCGCGGAGGGTTTCTCCGAAGGGCCTGGGCGACCCGGCCTCCTCCTCCTCCTCCTCCTCCTCCTCCTCCTCCCTCCTCCTCCCTCCTCCTACCTCCTCTTTCCTCTTACTCCTCCGCATCCTAGCCTACTCCTCCTCCTCTCCTCCTCCTCCTGCCTCCTCCCTCCTCTCTCCTCTCCCACTCCTCCTCCTCCTCCTCACGGTCCTCTCCTCCCTCCCTTCATCCCTCCCCTCCCTCCCTTTCCCCCCTCCCTTCCCTCTTCCCTCTCTCCCCGTCCCCTCGCCTGCATCTCCTCCTCCTCTTCTCCTCCTCCTCCTGCTTGTGTTCCTCCTCCTCCTCCTCACTCCTCCTCTCTCCTCCTCTTTCTCCTCCTCCTCCTCCTCCTCCTCCTCCTCCTCCTCCTCCTCGGATCGCCTACGGCCACGGGGGAAGCCGTGCAGGTGGAGCTGCTGAAGGAGGTGTCCGCGCGGGACGCGGGCGCGGGGCACTGCGCCGCACTGAGCCAGTGCCTCAGGCTGCAGCCGTTCCGCATCCGTTTGGCGGAGCAGGCCGACTACCCGGAGCTGATGGCCCTGGAGGAGCAGTGCTGGGCACCCAACCTCCGCGCGACGGAGCTCGCGATGCGCGCGAGGCTGAGGACCACCCCCGAGACGGTCCTCGTGGCCACGAAGGAGGACGGCCGCCTGGTGGCCGCGCTGTGGATGCAGCGGATCGATGAGGAGACCGACGTCCTCCAGATGCAGTACGAGGGCACCCACCTCCACCACAGGCCAGCCGGCAAGCTCGTCCAGCTGCTCGCGATCGCCTCGAGCGAGCCTGGCGTGGGGAACAAGCTCAGGAACTTCGCGCTGCACCTGGCGTGCCTGGACCCCACCGTCGAGGCGGGGCTCGCGTCGACTCGACCGATCTGACTCGGCACTGATATCGCCTGAGGAGGAGGAGGAGGAGGCGGAGGAGGAGGAGGAGGAGGAGGAGGAGGAGGACAGGGGAGGAGGAGGAGGAGGAGGAGGAGGAGGAGGAGAGGAGGAGGAGGAGGAGGAGGAGGGAGAGGGAGGGAGGAGGAGGAGTGGCCCGATGCGACTCGGTGTCGGTTGTCTGGCGATCCGATGCGGCCTTCCTCCCTTCCTCCTCCCCTCTCGCCCGACCCGAGCAGGGCAGGTCCTCGTGCACACCTCGGCCCTGCGGCGGCCCGCCCGGGACGATCTGGGCCCCCCGCCGGAAGGCTCCCGGCGAGGCGCAGAGCCGGTGGTGAGCACGCCGAGGTTGGAAAGCCTCCGAGAGCCGACCGACGAAGGCGTCCGAAAGCTGAACAACAACACCAACAACAACAACACCAACAACAACAACACCAACAACAACAACAACAACCACCACAACAACACCACCACCAACAACAACAACCACAACAACAACAACACAAACCACAACAACAACAACAACACCAACAACAACAACCACAACAACAACAACACCACCACCAACAACAACAACCACAACAACAACACAAACCACAACAACAATAACACCAACAACAACAACAACAACACCACCAACAACAACAACAACACCAACAACAACACCAACAACAACAACAGCAGCAACACCAACAACACCAACAACAACAACACCAACAACAACAACAACACCAACAACAACACCAACACCAACAGCAACAACACTACTACTACTAACAACAACAACAACCACAACAACAACAACACCAACAACAACAGCAACAACAACAATAACACCACCAACAACAACAACAACAACAACGATAACGTTTGACAAACAGGGCCGGACCTGAACGCTGCTCTGCTGTACTCTGGCCGTGTCTTGCCGTTCCTTTTTCGGCAGGGAGGCACAGGATGAACAGGCAGAGCACAACGAACAGCGAAACGAAAGCACGACGAACAGCAGCGTTCGGGCCCAGCCCTGCTGCAAAATGCTCCCCCTGCCGAGGGGGTCGTGGCCGTCACCCGCGCCTCCGACTTCCGCGGCGGCAGCCCCGCGGAGATGGAGGACTACATCGACCGCGTCGCCGCGGGCCACGCGCGGGACGGCACCGTCACCGGCTTCCATATGGACGCGGGCGCGCGGGTGAGGTTCGCGGTGCCGAACTACCGCCACAAGGACTTGGGGGGTTAGAGAGGGCAGGAGGAGGTGGGAGGTGGGAGGAGGAGGAGGAGGAGGAGGAGGAGGTGGGAGGAGGAGGAGGAGGACCAGTGCAAACCCAAGATTCATCAACGATGTTAAAAAACCCTCCCTCCAAGCTCCCTCTTCATGGCCCCTGCAAGGGTTTATTTCCACTGAGGGAACTGCCTCGTTGGGAGGCAACCGTTTGAAGACCCTGCAGCATGCCAAAACACCGTTCTCGGGACTCCAACGCCACGGATCAACCTGACTGTTGTGTCTTGACGGTCTTGAACCGTGCCAGAGCACCATTTCTGGGACTTCAGCACCGCGAATCAACGTAATAGCTGCACCCTCACAATCCAGAATCGCTCCAAAGCAGCGTTTCTGGAGGAGTAGGAGGAGGAGGAGGAGGAGGAGGAGAGGAGGAGGAGGAGGAGGAGGCCATTGGAATCCGTAAAGCTTCTGTAGTTTTTAGAACGACTGCGCGGCGCTGAGGCGAGGGCCACGGTCCGAAAACGAATCCCTCCGTCCTTGGATCCCTTGCAAGTTTTGTGAACGAATGTGTGCGGCGCAGAGGCGGGTGCCATATCTGAAAACGACTCGCCCTCCATTCGCGAAGCTATTCCAATCTTATATCACGAATGCGCGCGGCGCCGAGGCGAGAACCACATGTTGAAAGCCGCCTGCCCGCAGTCCGTGAAACTCCTTGCGAGTTTTGAAGACGAATGTGCGCGGCGCCAAGGCGAGAGCCACGTTTTGGAAACCGCCCGCCCCCCATGTGTGAAATTGTTGCCAATGTTTTAAGCTTCAGGGTCATAAGTGGAGAGGAAGTCTCAGGCGAGACGCCCGGCCCGCCCTTTCGACCGGCCGGGGGGTGCGATTGGGAGGAGTTCTTCATGAGGAAGAATGGAGGAGGAGGAGGAGAAGGAGGAGGAGGAGGAGGAGGAGGAGGAGGAGGAGGGAGGAAGTGGGAGGAGGACCAGGAAGGAGAGGAAGGCGGGGGAGGGGGGGGGGGAGGAGGAGGAGGAGGAGGAGGAGGAGGAGGAGGAGGAGGAGGAGGAGGAGGAGGAGGAGGAGGAGGAGGAGGAGGAGGAGGAGGAGGAGGACACAGTGTAATCCAAGACTCATGGAGTGCGGGCCCCATTGGGAGATGGCTCCCGCCTGGGACTTCCCCGTTCTGCACTCACAGACGAGGCCCCCGCTTGAGAGATCCTAACGATTTGCCCCCATTAGGGCGCTCGAGTACTATGCCTGGTAGAGTTTGCCGATGACCCGCTCGGATTACCAGCATTAGGTGCGAGCTGCACAGGGCGGGGGCTCCCGCCTGAGACTTCTTTGAGATTCACTCACGGATGAGGCTCTCGTTGGACACATCCTCACGATTTGCCCCCTTGGGGTGCGCAAGTGCGATGCATGGTAGAGTTTGCCGATGACCCGCTCGGATTACCAACATGAAGCGCGGCCTGCATAAGGAGGTAGCTCTCGCCTGAGATTTCCTTGCAATTCACTCAAAGACGAGGCCCCCGCTTGAGACATCCTCACGATTTGTCCCCCTTGGCAGGGCTCATTTCGATTCCTCCGATTCGATTCGGTTCGATTTCGGTGGCTTCCGATTCCGACTCGATTCGGCTTCGGATTCCGATGTGACCTCCGATTTCTCATTGGAGGCCTACTCGCTTGCCGTTTTCCGCCGATTCGATTTTTCCTGACTCGGCTGCCGACGTCTGCCGATCCGATTCAATTGGATCGCCGATCCGACTTATCGATTCGATTATGGACTCTCCTGCCTTTGGGTGCTCAAGTGCTATGCCCGGTAGAGTTTGCCGATGCCCCGCTCGGATTACCAACATGAAGTGCGGGCCGCATCGGGAGGGGGCTCCCCCCTGAGACTTCCTCGCAATCCACTCAGAGACCAGGCCCCCGCTTGAGACATCCTCACGATTCGTCCCCCTTGGAGTGTTCACAGGTTTTGCCTGATACAGTTCACCGATGACCCGCTTGAATTGCAAGCATGAAGTGCGGGCCCCACAGGCAGTGGTCTCCCGCTCGAGACTCCCTAACGGTGAGTATGCGAGTGTGTGAGTGTGTATGGTGATGATGGGTGAGGATAATGGTTGGTGGTGATGAGTGAGTGTGTGAGTGCGAGTGAGTGCGAGTGCGTGCGTGAGTGTGTGTGTGTGTGTGTAAGATGACGATGCTGCTGCTGATGATTATGATGATGATGACGATGAAGATGAAGACGAATCTGAAAATGATGATGATGGTGGTGATGATGATGATTATGATGCTGATGATGATGATGATGATGATGATGACGATGGTGGTGATGCTGACGACGAAGATGATGATACTGATGTTGATGAAGATAACGATGATGACGACGACGATGATGATGATGATGCTACTGACGATGATACTGATGGTGATGATGGTTGCGGTGGTGATGATGATGCTGATGCTGATTATGCTGCTGATGATACTGATTATGATGATGACGACGATGATGATGATGATGCTGATGGTGATGGTAATGATGTTGATGATGCTGATGCGGTGAATGATGATGAGGAGGATGATGATGCTGATGATGATGATGATGATGACGCTGCTGATGCTGATGATGAGGCTGATTATGATTATGGTGATGATGAGGTTGATGATGATGCCGCTATGCTGATGATGATGACGACGATGAAAATGATGGTGATGATGGTGATGATGCTGATGATGATGGTGATGCTTCTGCTGATGATGAGGAGGAAGATGATGGTGATGTTGATGTTCAGCATGATAGCTCCGAATAGGATGATGCTGATGTTTGTGGTGATGACGACGATCATGATGATGACGAGGGCGATGGTTGTGACTGTGACGTTGCTGAGGAGGAAGAGAGCGGTGAGGTTTTCCTGCGGGGGGGGGTGCAAAACCCGGCAGGTAACTATGGGTTTCTGAAGATCTCGCCTCGTCTCTCCCGTACCTCTGGGGCCTCAGGATGGTCCAACGATGGCTCTGCGGGAGCCCGAAAGCAGGAAGGACGCGGGAGATAGGAGAGAAGAGCGAGACGGGAGGGACAGCGGGTGGAAGGGAGGAGCCAGGGAGGAGGGAGGAGCGGAGTCGGAACCGAGACGATGGAGGCGAGTCACAGGAGGAGCGCGACGCATCTTTCAAGCGGTTCGAGGCACTTGCAGAATTGGCGTGGCGACACGCACCCACTGTGTCGAGACGTTGACCTGTGTTGGTGCGCGCGAGGGGGTCCTCCTCCTCCTCCCCCTCCCCCTCCCCCTCCCCCTCCTCCTCCTCCTCCTCCTCCTCCTCCTCCTCCTCCTCCTCCTCCTCCTCCTCCCCCTGCGGCGAGAGGGGGGGCGGGGCCCCGTGGAAGGCTGCAGAGGAGCGCCGTCGGGCAGCACTCGGCACTCTTTCCGCGCCTCCGCGTGCCAGGCGAGGTGGGCGGAGTGACGACGGACTGTGGCCTCGGGAGCGCGAGGGAGCGTGGCCTCGGGAGCGCGAACGAGCTGCATCTGTACGCGTGCTGTGGCTTCGGGGGCGCGAGCTCGGCGCACGCTGCAGCGGACTGCGGCCTCGGCATCGCGGGCGCGTCGCCAACAGACGAGGGACTGGGGTTCCAGGGGCGCGAAGCTGTTGCATCGTGGCGTGTCCCATCGCTCCCGTCCACGCCACCGCGTGCTGGGGAGCGCGGTTGCGGAGATGTTGTGGGACAACGGGTGCGAGTGAGAGAAACAGCTAGTCGCGTTGCCTATTGGTGATCTGATCCTGCACCACCTCCACCTCCACCTCCACCTCTGCGTCCGCCTCAGCCAGTGCCCCGTGTTTCCTCCTGCGAGGACGCCGCCGACCACAATCATGAGGTCGCTGTCGCCAGTGTCGTCGTTGTCGTCGTGGTCGCTGTCGTCGTCGTCGTCGTCGTCGTCGTCGTCGTGGTCGTCGTCGTGGTCGCCGTCGTTGTTGTGACCGTCGTAGTCGCCGTGGTCGTCGTTGTCGTTGCCGAGGCCGTCGTGGTCGTCGCCTTGGAGGCGGGGGCCGTGGTCGTGGTCATGGTCGTCGTCGCCATCCTCGTCGTGACCCCACTTCCCCGCGAGGACGTCGCCAACTTCGGCTACGGCGTGCTGATCCGCTACAACATCCTCGACAGGGCCTCCCTCGGTCGGCCTCTGCTGCAGCCGGCCCCAGTGGCGGCCGATGACCAGGCCGCCGTCGTCGTCAGCGTCGTCGCCGCCGTCGTTGTCTTTGCCGGTGTCTTTGTCGTCGTCATCGGAGAGGGAGGATGGAGGGAGGAAGGATACGAGGAGGAGCCATGTCTCAGGCAAGGGGAAATGGATCGACATGATGGCGTTGATGGTGGTAACGGCGGTGGTGAAGCACACATGGCAATCAATATATCAAGGAGAGCCCACCGGCTCACCTTCTTTCATCCCCGCATCCCCCCGCCTTTCCCACACTTGCCTTCTCCTCCCCCCCTCGCATGGTGGTGGGGCGGGTTTGGATCGAGCGGGTGGGGAGGGTGAACGGACTCACCCTTGGCCGCCCTGGCAAGGGCCGGGACGGCCCTGGCCGCATCGCACTTGCAGCCCGCAGCAGGCCGACTTTCACCACTACGTAACCTCACCTTTCTGCACGTTCCCACGCTAGCCTTCTCCTCCTCTCCCCTCGTGCGGTGGCGGGACGGGTTTGGGTCGAGCGGGTGGGGTGGGTGAGTGGGCTCACCACTGGCCGCCCTAGCAAGGGCCAGGACGGCCGCGGCCGCAATGCAGATGCAACCTGCAGCAGGCCGGCTCTCACAACTTTACAACTTCACTTTTATGTCAGCCGCGTCGAGGAGGGTCGGATAAGTTCGTCACCTCTGGGTGGGAGGGACCTTGCCTACCAAAGGGCCGACGCCACGGCGAGCGTGGCTCCAGGCACGCCCGCGCAGTTCACGGTGCACTGCAGTCGCTTGCCAACTACTACCTCGCCCGCGGGCCACTGCAGCCTACCGCCCTGCCCCGTCTTGACCGCGCTCCGCCGCCTGCACCCCGAGCGAGGGCGACCGCGCAGCCTGCCGCCCCAACCTGAACCCCGCCCCTCGCCCTCCTCGACGAGCGCCAGTATCCTCGCGCGCCATGTCGCGCTCGACGTGGCCAGTGCAAGACCACCTCCGAGCAGCCGTTGCACCGCGCTGCCCGCCTCCCGCAGACGCTGCGCGTATCCCCATCGGGTCTTCCACGTTTGCGACTCACCCGCCGTTCCTGTCCGTCCCTTCGGTGCTTACGCTTCTCCTGCTGGTCCGTTCGCTGTTCTACGTCGTGGGGTCCCACTGGGTCCTGTGCTACGTGTTCGGCTAGGTACCTGGGGAATCGTTGGCCCTTTTCGCCCTTTTCCTTCATGTCACCGCCGTCCTGGGTAAGTGTGGCATTCTTCTCTTTGGTCGCAAGTGGGGTCGCTCTTCCACTGCACCTGCATCTAGTTCCGACACCTACATGGACGTGTTCCCGGTGCCGCTTCGTGATGCCGTCCGTCCGCGCCATTTTGGCTGCGCTGTACTCCGTCCCGCTCTGTGCATGGCGCTGCTCACCGTTATGTTGTTGTCCTTATCTTGTGGCGCAGCCTGCCCCTGCTTGCGCGGTGTTCGACTCGCATCGCGCGCCCGCGTGCCAACAGTCCCCGCGAGCCCATCCAGAAACAATGCTCAGGCGAGGTGAGGTGATCACGGAAGTGCGGGAGCAAAGACGGGGACGGCCGAACCGTGCGAAGGAGGGAAGGGAAGGAGGAGGCTGGGTGGATGGATGAGGGATTGGGGGGTAGGGAGATGAATAGGATAATGAGGACGATGACGATGATGATGACGATGATGATTTGATGATGATGATTATTATGATGATGGTGGCGGTGGTGGTGATGGTGGTGATGATGATGACGGTGCTGATGATTATTATGATGATGACGCTGATGATGATGATGGTGGCGGTGGTGGTGAAGATGATGAGGAGGAGGAACAATATGAGGAGGAGGAGGAGCAGGATATGATGATGATGATGATGTTGATGTTGATACTGTTGTTGATGATGATGATGATGGTGATGATGATGATGAGGATGATGATGATGATGATGATGAGGAGGAGGAGGAGGAGGAGGAGGATTTGGAGGAGGAGGAGGAAGAGGAGGAGGAGGAGGAAGAGGAGAAAAAGGAGGAGAGGGAGAAGGAGGATGAGGAGGAGGAGGAGGAGGAGGAGGAGGAAAGGATGGAGGATGTGGAGGAGGAGGAGAAACAAGAGGAGGACGAGGAAGGGGGGCAGGCTGGGACCCAGCGAGGGCCCTCAGTGGCCGAAAACTAGCACAAACCGCCGGTCGTGATTTTTCCCAAACCATACTGTGATATTGGATCTTCGTTTTGAAGACACGGTCCCCGCGTTCCTCTCCTTCCTTCCTTCCTCCTCCCCTCCCCACTCCTCCATCATCATCGTCATGATTGGTCTCAGCATACCCCTCGCACGTTTCGTGGTCCCATCGGGAGTTCCTCTGAAGGTACCAGTGCTACCGCCCGCATGCGTCCCCCCCCCCAGTACAGCGTTTCGTGGCCTTATGGGGAGCTTTACTGACGGTCCCAGTGCTACCGCCCGCATGCGTCCCCCCACTCCAGTACAGCGTTTCGTGGCCCCATAGGGAACTCCACCGACGGCCCTAGTGCTACCACCCGCATGCGTCCCACCACCCAGTACAGCTTCGTGGCCCCATAGGGAGCTCCACCGACGGCCCCAGTGCTACCGCCCGCATGCGTTCCCCCCTACCCAGCACAGCGCTTCGTGGCCCCATAGGGAGCTCCACGGTAGGCCTTAATGCTGCCTCCCGCATGCGTCCCCCCCACCCAGTACCTCCGCTTCGTGGCCCCATGGGGAGCACCACGACGGCCCAGCGACTACCGCCCGCATGCGTCCCCCAAGCCAACACAGCGCTTCGTTGCCCCATTACGGAGCTCCACCGGCGGCCCCAGCGCTACCTGCCCGAATTGCGTTCCCCCCACCAAGTGCAGCGCTTCGTGGCCCCACAGGGAGCTCCGTCGAAGAGAGATTCCACAACTCTGCGGTATTCACAACTGCATGTGGTTGGTTCCTTCGCCGCGCGCTCGTCGCGGTGCTCGGGGAGGGGGAGGAGGAGGAGAGGAGGAGGAGGAGGAGGAGGAGGAGGGGAGAGGAGCAAAGGGAGCAGGAGGAGGACAGGAGGAGGAGGCGGGGTCAGGAGCGCGGGGGAGGAGGAGGAGGAGGAGGGGGCGGAGGAGGAGGAGAGAGGAGGAGGAGGAGGAGGAGGAGGAGGAGGAGGAGCATGTGATAGTTTCATGATCCGAACGGGTCTGGGAGGGGAGGGCTCGCGGCCGTCAGGGCGCTCATGGCGAGGAGGCGGCGCCGCTGCCGGGCGGCGGGATGCGCGGGCTGATCGAGGGCCTTTGCCGGAAGTTGGCGCCGGAGGATCGGGTCGGACGGGGCTCACTGACCTGACCAAACATCTAGGCTTCCAAGAGGAGGAGGAGGAGGAGGAGGAGAAGGGGAAGAAGGAGGAGGAGAAGGGGAAGGAGGAGGAGGAGGAGCAGGAGGAATACTAATAATACTAATAATGCGAATAGGTCTCATTAGAATAAGACTAATACGAAACATGGTAATACAATTCACAATACTAATACGATTGCTAGTTCTAGCAATGATTATACGACTAAACATACTAATAACAACAATCATAGTAATACGGGCACAAACAATGTTATTAAAACTATAAGAATAAGGACGATAACAATATTATTAATAGTACGACTGTGAGTAATACATAATAGTAATAAGAAAGTAATGATACTAATAGCAGTAAGAGTAATAAAAGACGACGAAGAGGAATACGATCAATACTAAGGAGAAGAGGAGGAGGAGAAGGAGGACGAGGAGGAGGAGGAAATGGAGGAAACGGAGGAGGAAACGGAGGAGGTGGTTGAGGGGGGGGGCAGGAGGAGGAAGAGGAGGAGGAGGAGGAGGAGGAGGAGGAGGAGGAGGAGGAGGAGGAGGAGAGGGAGGAGAGGGAGGAGGTTGAGGGGAGGGAGGAGGAGGAGGAAGAGGCGGAGGAGGAGGAGGCGGAGGAGGAGGAGGAGGAGGAGGAGGGGGGGAAGGAGGAAGCTGAGAAGGAGGAGGAGGAGGAGGCGGAGGCGGAAGGAAGTGGGGTCGGAGGATCGCGCCGCATCGCCGATGCATCGCTGGTGCGGCTCGTGGTGGAGCCCGAATTTCTCACGCCGACGGCGCCGATGCGTCGCTGATGCATCGCCAATGCATTGGCGTTGCGGCGCGATCCTCCGACCCCACGTAGTCGAACTCCAATTTGGAGGCCTCTGCAGCAGGAGGGCGGCCCCCCAGGTTTGGTCAGGGATTGCCACCCCCTCGGGGAGAATCGGCGACGAGCAAGTTGCATAAACACCACGTCCAGAGCTCCGCGCAGAGTTCTTGGATGGGCGCTGCCGCTTTTTGTTTGTCAATAGCGTTTCGCCGTTTCGCCAGAGGGCTCTAGGAAGTCTAAAAGTATCCTGGCGAAGGACCCAACCATATGCAGCAGCCATATGCAGCTGTATCGCCGTTGTGGTTATTTTCCTTGTGGGGCCACGAAGCGTGTAAAGGATGGGTCGGAATGGGGCGAGGCCCCCATGCGGGCGCTGCTGTTGGGGCCATAGGTCTACCCCCCCCCTGTTGGCCCACGAAGCGTGTGAGGGGGGTGTGCCGAAATGTGCGGGGGGTACCCATGCGAACGTCGCCATTGGGGCATTCGGTGGAGCTCCGTGTGGGGCGACGAAACGCGTGATGGGGTGTGCTGGGGCTGGGGGGACGCGTGCGAACGTCGCCACTGAGGCCTTCGGTGAAGATCCCTGTGGGGTCACGAAGCGCTGTACTTAGTGAGGCGGACGCAATCGAACGTCGCGACTGGGGCCTTCGGTGGGGAGCGGAATTCGTTCGCAAAACAATTAAATAAGCCCGGATTTTCCTGGAGATCTTCGTTCCGGATTGCGAAGTGAATTTCGTGCGGATTTGTTTTGGCCAGCCGCATGAAACTCATTTCGTTTTTCGCTCGCCGTCTCGGGGTTTTGTATTGACAGAAATCCACGAAAAAATCCGCTGCAGCACGTCTGCAAGGTCGGCGCAGTGAAATTGTTCGATCCCTTTTCTTTGTTCGATCTCCCACGACGACGAGTCAAAGGAGCCTGACGTGCTTCAGTTTGAGTTGTGCTGGCCGGCTGGCCTCGCGTCGGAGGGCCTCTCACATGCGCCGACTGGGTCGGCGGATGTTCTTTATCATCCCCGTTCAGGCTGTCATCAGGGTGCTGTGCCAGGGTACTATCCTCCTCGAGAGAAGCCCCGACCAAACCTGAGATTCGGTCCCTCCCTGACGGTGTGGGCTGGCCACCACGCCGATCCTGGCCGGGCCCGATCCTGGGCCCAGGGCCCGTGGGGTGGTCAGTTGGCGCCCCCCGAAGAGGACGACATCACGCAGCCGTTCATGGACTTCCTCGATTCCATGGAGGTTCCAGCACTCCCCCCACGTGCTCTCTTTCTTTTTTTTTTTTTTTTTTTTTTCTCTCTCTCTCTCTCTTTCTCTCTCTTTATCTCCTGCTCCTCATCGTCCTCCTTGTTGTTCCCTCCTGCCCCTCCTCCCCCCCTCGTGCATCCCCCCACCCTCTCCTCCTCCCCTCCCTTCCCCACTTCTCTTGCCCGCTCCCCCTCTCCCTCCTCGCCCATCTCCTCTCCATCCTCTCCCATCTCCTCATCCTCTCTCCTCGTCCTGCTGGCCTCCTCGTGCTCCCCCCTCCATCCTCTCCATCCTCTCCCATCTCCTCCTCCCCCCCTCTCCTCGTCCTGCTGGCCTCCTCGTGCTCACGCTTCCCTGCCACCCCAACACTCTTCACGAGCAGCCCGACCCCCTTCGCGCCACCAGACGTGCTGGCGCGTGCGGGCGGGGCGCTCCGGCCCGAGCCTCGCCGCCAAAGAGCGCACGCTCCGGAGGCTCGCGACGTGCCCAACGGGTGCCTACATTCGAATCGAGCGCTCCCAGCAGCTTCCACGGATGGCAGGGCCGGACCTCAGCGGTGTTTTTGTTGGTGACTTCGTGGGCCGTTGTCGTCTCGGCTTCGTCCTGCGGTCAGGGAGGAGTCGAGGCAGGAGCGAGGGAAGACGAAGACGGAGCGAAAGCGAGAAACGCACCGTGTAGGTTCAGCCCTGGCGGATGGGGCACATGGTCGCTTCTGGACGCGCTTCGGCGCCGCGCCCTTGACACAGTCCGTCTCCACACACGTGCCGGCCTCTGCGCAGACAGAGGGCGGCCCCCTCCTCCCTCGCCCGCCTCCGCTCCCGCTCCGTCCTCCTCCCCCTCCTCGCCCGCCTCCTCCCCGGCGCCGCCCCGAGGTCTCCCAGCTCTCGAACATGATCGGGACGGAGCTCGGCCGGAGGCTGAACCCCACCGTGGTCCTGGACTACCCGAGCGTGGAGCTCCTGAGCGCGTACCTGGAGGAGACCGCCGTCTCCAGGGCCAGGGCCGGCAAGGGCACCCCTCCGGCGCGCGGATGGCACCAACCACCCAGACGCCCGGGAAAGGAGGAGGAGGGGGAGGAGGAGGAGGAGGAGGAGGAGGAGGAGGAGGAGGAGGAGGAGGAGGAGGGGGAGGAGGAGGAGGAGGAGGAGGAGGAGGAGGAGGAGGAGTGTAGACCCAAGACTCGTCAACGATGTTGGGATAGCACTCCCTCCAAGCTGCCTCTTCATAGGCCCCTACAAGGGCTCCTTTCCACAGGGATCTGCCTCGTTGGAAGACAGCCGCTAGAAGACCCTGAAGCGTGCCCAAAACACCATGTGCGGGACTCCCAACGCCAGGAATCAACATGGCTGTTCCGTCTTCGTCTTGACGATCCAGAATCGTGCCAGAATGCCATCCCTGGGACATTGACATCGCGAATCAACGTGACTGTTAAGCCCCGACAATCCTGAATCCTTCCAAAGCAACATTTCTAGCACTTTGACCATGGGAATATGGGAAACGCTGGCACTTAGAAAAAGCAATGCGCGCGGCGCTAAGGCGAGAGCCACATTTTGAAAACGGCCCGCCCTCTAAGCGTGAAGCGCGTGCATTTTTGTTGAACGAATGTGCGCAGCGCTAAGGCGAGAGCTTCATTTTGAGAACGACCCGCCCGCCATCCGTGAAACTCTCGTAAACGTTTAAATCGGATGTGCGCGGCGCTAAGGCGAGAGCAACATTTTGAAAACCATCTGCTCTCCATCCGTGAAGCTCCTGCAATGTTTAAACGGATGTGCGCGGCGCTGCGGCGAGAGCCACATGTTGGAAACCACGCGCCCTCCGTCTGTGAAGCTGTTGCCACATTTCAAGCTTCAGGGTCACATGTTGGAAACCACGCGCCCTCCGTCTGTGAAGCTGTTGCCACATTTCAAGCTTCAGGGTCATAAATGCTGAGACGGTATCAGGCGAAACGCCCGCCCCGCCCTTCTCGACCGGCTTCGAGTTGCGAAAGGAATGAGTTATCTATAAGGAAAAGGAATGGAGGAGGAGGAGGAGGCAGAGGAGGACGAAGAATAGTGAGGAGGAAGAGGAGAAGCAGCAGGGAGGAGAAACAGCAAGGAGGAGGAGGAGGAGGGAAGAGGAG